AAGTAAGACCTCTCGTCTAAAAGTTTGCGTTGTAATGGGGATGGAAGAAGTAACGGTAAGAAAAGCAAACAAAGATTACTCAAAAGGTCCGTATAACAAATGGCAAAAAAAATGACTAAACATTTCTTCAATGACCAAGGCTAATTTACTTATACTTACATAAATTAAGCTAGTACTTACAATTCGCATTCATTTGGAGGAGGGGTCCCACATGACAGCTTCGTATTGATGTTCGCGGCATTCAAACATAGTACACGATTGAGCCATTGCTCGATCTTAAACAAACATGCTACGCTGATAGCATAATTTCGACAAACTCGAGAAAAGTACCTCATCGCCTGGTTTATATCTTATGCTTTCTTCCATGGTCAACTCATGTAATTTCCTACCTAAAATTGGCACAGATTTCGAGGTAAGGTAAAAAAGACAAAGTGATATATGTCTTAGGATACCTTTGCTTGCAGCTAACTTTTCTCCTTTAGCGCTTCCAGCAGATTGCTGACGAAGCTGCTGGAGCAGTTTTAACGACAAACTCCGGCCTGTCCCTTCATAACCATTGATTGTTGAAGACAAAAACACAATGTATGGCCCTGAAATAACAGTTTTATTCTGTAAAGAGTATCTTTTCAATTAAAAAGTACCAAAAATCAGCTCCTTCACTAAGGGAAGTGGTATAGCAGCAGCCTCATCCACCACAACTAGCTCGGCTTGGCCCAACTTCCCAGCATCGGATGGATGAATATACTAAGAAGGATAAGAAATACGCAGTATGAGATCTTCGCTTTTAATGGGCTCATTAAAATTATACCTGTATTGTTTGGCGATGTTCTCTGAAAACATTAACACGAACAAGCGCTTTTTGGAACTCTGGATTGGTGGATTGTATCAGCTCGTAATCAATGTGTTCCTAGGCACAATTGCGGTTAGCATAATTATGGAACAATCAAAATAATTCGATAAAAATAGTAATTGAAGCAAGAAAGACTGACCTGATATCCCATCGTGTCAAAGCCTTTAACGACAAATTCAAACAGAGTCTTCAAATTTTCAGGTGAGGGCGATGTAACAAAGATATTTGAGTACCCAAATGCAACTGCACCGGCTAGGGCAAGACCTGTAAACGGTTAACTATCGAAGGAACGTTAATGGACAATGAAACAGATATGATATAACTTGTACATCTTGGCCAATATTAGATGAACTCACCTAAAGAAGCGGACTTTCCTCGTCCTCTAGCAGCGGTAATTGAACAGGTCACATTCATAACTTTATCGGTAATTACGTCAAGCAACCTGTAATTATACGATATATTCAGTGCGAAAATTTAAAGAAGCACCAAGAAGTATGGGAAGTGTTAAACACACTGTAACTTTTCCCTCACCTGAGTAGCACTTTACCCTGACACGCAGTTCGACACTTGTTGAGCAGCGGTCCAATAGGTTTTGTGTCTTTCATTCCCTCTTTCAAAGCCTTCAGCTCGGCTTCAGAAGAGGATAGAGCACCCTAATGATACCTTCGTTTCTGTTGATATACCACATTCAGAAAAAGAT